CAATTTTAACATAGAAGAAATGGCGAATTTTAGATTGAATAATGTTGATATTGCATCTTTCCGATATATTTTTGTTGTTACTTTTGTCTTTTAATATATTTATTGTGATTGAAATAAAATGAGAGTAAAAAATTATATGGTTCCTTTTATCATACGAATGAATTGTGCCGTGCTATGAATTTATCGTTATCCGAAATTAAAAATTTGCATTTAACTTTACTTTTCATTTTGAAAATCACTATGCGAGTCACGAAATTCAAAAGTTTATGGGAATAGCTTTTAATAAATAAAACTATTTTTATTTAAATTCAACAAAATAACATTTATTTATATAATATATATATTTTTTTATTTAATTTTATATAAATTTTGAAATTTTGAAAACAAAAGTTAAAGTCCGCGATAATTCTGCGTGATTAAATATATTTAATGGTTTAAATGAATAAATCGGTCGGTGAAACGGTCGGTTGGTCAATGATTATTTTAACCTCTATCACAATCAGTTTTATTATTGTTATTAATATAAAATCTCCTTTATTTATTATGAATTTGGCTTTCAAATAAAACCAATCTCAAAAATACAAAATATTTATATAAATTATGATAGACAAAATACTGTAAATATAAATAGAATAACTCTATCTACTATATCGTATTAATAAACTTATTTTATTAGACTGGTCAGTTCAGTTAAAATCTACCTGCAGGTTTCTTTTTATGACTCTTTAGCAAAGCTTACGCAATGTAAATGCCTGCCGCAGATGTTAGTCACCATTTGAGTTCTCCTTCTTCTTCATTTCTGTGACAAATTCTTCTTCGACACTCATTTCCGTATCGATTTTTGTGTTTTAAATAATATACAATTTGTCTTTATACAACCATTAGGAGCATTCTGCTGTGAGGAATAGTACGAAATATGTACTTTCTATACGATATATATGTCGTCTTTAGCATATTAATCATTGTCGTTGGTAATAAATGTCATCTTTCCCTGGTATCCTTCTGTAAATTTAGATTTGCCAACTTGAAGTTCTTGGATTATAAATTTCAAGTCATAATGAAAGGTCATTTTTTGAAAAAAATTTCATATAATAAACTTGTAATTTACCATAGGAGAGTTGCAAATTTTGACATGGAATTTAGCTTCACATATGCGATTTCATTTAAGATCGAGGTTAGAGATGAACATTCTTATGACATTAAAACAAGAAGAAAATTTTTATATAAGACTTATTTCTCTTAACAACCATCATATGGGACCTTTGCAATAGAAAAGGGGTAAACGGATGGAAAAAAATAAAAAATGTGTTTGTGCTAAATCTGATCATATTTGCATTTAAATGTAAAATTGATTCTTTCTAGTTGTTTCTCCCTTTTCTATTGCAAAGGTCCCATATATCCGAAAAAATAACGAGCTTTTTACAAATTTTCATAAGTCATTAATTGGAAAAAATAATCAAGCTTTTATAAGGATGAAAAAGCAAGGTTTATTGTTATACTGAATTCTGGATTAATCTATACATTTTATTCTACATCGGGAAATTAAAACACTATTGACTTCTATATTTCCCTACAATTGTTATGCTAACGACTTTTACCTCACTACCTCAGCTAATATGACCTAAAGATTTATCATAAATTAATTGTTAAATGAATATTTAATAACTTTTTCATTTACAATTAACCTCATTACTTATACAATTATTATAATTAGACCTTTTTTTTTTTTTATCATTAGGAATATCATTAATATTTTTTTTACTTTTTTTCTTTAAGGAATTCCTTCTTAAACCTGGATTTCAGCTTGGGCTATAAAGGTAAATTGATATAATGAATTGTTTTATTTTTTTTTATCATTAGAAATATCATCAATATTCCTTTTATTTTTTTCTTTAGAAGATGCCTTCTTAAAACTGAATTTCATTTGAACTATAAAGATAAGTTAGTGTAGGAAATTATTTTTATTTTTTCTTTATCTTTGGAATAATATTCATTTGCTTCTTTTTTTTAAAGGACACCTTCTATATTTGGATTTTGGCTTAGGCTATAAAAGTAAGTTGATATAGGGATTATTTTTATTTTTTCTTTGATTTGGAATGTTATTAACATTTATTTGCTTCTTTTTTTTAGGAAATGCTACCTGAATTTGGATTTTAGCTTAGGTCATGAATATAAGTTATATATATGTTTTTTTATTTTTCACTTTTTTCTTTAGGAGATACCTTTCTGAATCTGAATTCTAATAATTTGACTTGACTCAATTCATTTAGAACACTAAGTAGGAGACCAGATCACTGAATCTAATTATATATATTTTATGCTAGATATTCAGTAGAAGTTTCGTATATAGTATTGTATATTTTCAAAAAATATTAGGATTAGAGTTGGCAAAGTTTAATAGGTATTAAAAGTTTAAAAATAATTTTTATTTATATATTTTTAATTAGATTTATTAATAATAATTTTAGCTTTTTAGATAATTAAAATAAATAAATTTATTTATTATTTAAAATAAAAAACCATTTAAAAATTAGAAATTTATATTATTCAGGACCTAATAATAAGACTTAAGTCCTAATGTTTTTTAAAAATTTAAATTATAAAGAAAATTTTAACATAATTTTAATATTACAAAAATATTATTTAAAAAAATCTTTAAAATTAATAATTTTTAAAGATTAATTAGGACCTTTCCAGTCCTACCTCTACCAAAATTAGGGTAGAGGATGAGCATACATAGATTAACCCCGCATAATACAATCATGTTTAAACTACTTTTAATCAAAAAGCCTATATGCACTTCATCAATGACCACGTTTACTACCTCATGACCAAGATGCACTATATGTAAATCTTTTATCTTATTACCATGCCTAATGTGCAAACTTAACCTACCTCTTAAAATTCATCTTAATCGTCGATATTAGTTCGTCAGATAATGGTCATCAGACCTTTCGAACCTGATAAATATAATGAAAAACGTAGAATTTGTTAGAGGAGAGTATCAAAAGAAAAGAAAAATGAGAACTTATCAATAAATTTTAAAAAATCACGATTGGCAAAGGATAAATAAATACAAATATGATCATTGCTTTTTCGGCGAAGGATGCGTGAAAGTAACAAACTGCTCAAAGAAAACTTCACACTAAATTAATCTATTTAAGTAAGGCCTCTTCTTTTGTCGGATAAGCAAGCGTTCGTATCTTACATACTAAGCCATTGCTCTTAGCTTAATACAATGAATACCATCAGAAAATGCTTCAACATTTAAAACTCAAACTGTGCATCAAATCGTTAAGACAAGAGCAGCATTAGGGAGAGAAATCATTAAAGGAAAAAAGTAAAAGATACTTTGCATAAATATTAATCAATCCAGGTAAATATCCACCACCAAAGAGTCGATCATTATAATTTTGTGGTAAGTGTAGATTTACAAAATTTTTTAAAATAAATTTTTGTCCTGAGCGAAGCGAAGGACTATATATTTCTGTGCATTGATTAAAATTTGGTCATGTGAGCGTTTCTCTGTCCGCCACGTGATTTTCGTACAATAATTTATTCAGGACTCACAATGGTCCCCGTTTCCTAGTTTTATTTTGATTGTGCGAATATTTTTATAAACAACGGGGTCATGAAGACCATGCAGTTTTTAGAATATTAACAATGTGTGATTCACAATTACCGCAAGCGAATTTTTGCTCAGTTGCCAATAATTGCTTAGTATTGCTTATCATAATGTCGTTATCAATAAAAATCATATAAGACTCAAAAATCATAACTAAAAATTATCAAACTAAACTGCTCAAAATAGTATAAAAAAATTTGAGCAGAGGAATAGAAATAAATAGTAAAAACAGAAAATCAAAATTTTCAATCAAATAGTTAAGTAAGAGTATGAAAAAGTCCTTATTAAGCATATAATAGTTCAAAATCGTAAACTCAAACTCTCCTCCTCTATGTATTTATCTGCACACAAGGCAACTAAAAAACTTGGAATCTCATCAAATACCTTATGTTGTTGGCTAAAGCAAGAAAGATTTATTGCTAAAATGACTCCTTTATGACAAATCTTCCATATTTTTAGAGTTAACTTCTTAAGATGTTGATTACACCGCCGTCACTGCTACCATCACCACTACTAAAAAGGGTTCCTCTATACATGGGTCTCTAGTGTCAAGCAAAAAGAGAATTTTGAACAGCAGAAGCAACTCCTCAGATCCTGATACCCATCCTACGAACTCATTATAAGTTAAAAATCTCAAGAAAGCCGTCATTGGTTCGTGATATAATTTTTTTTAATCATCATACAAAGTTGTGTTTATCAAATATTGATTTATATCATTTCATTTAGCTCGACATAGAGAAAATAAAACATTGATGATGCAAATCAATGAATTTATTTCCAATCCAATTGAAAAATATATGAGAATTCAGGAAATAATCAAGCTGTAACGTTACAGTTAAAAATTCTGTCAAATAATTTGGCGAGTGTAAGAGTGAAATGAGAAATTGTACGAATATTTTACAAGGATTAATCCTTAAAAGTGGAGTGGATTGGGTAAATGACAAAGATTTATTGAATTTGATACTTATTATGGAGAGGAAATCTAAATTGAAATGTGAAAATGTTACCTATTCATTTAGAAAAATGGAAATCATGTGATGTGTTATTATAAAAAACACGTAATGCCTTCTTTTAGTAAAAAATCACGCAAAATTTTCTACAAAAATTTCAATTTTTCACTAAATTTTTTTTTGTTTCAATCTAACTTATGAAAGCCTTTTTCAGTTTAGTAACTACGCGTCAATATGCGATAAGATCTAGCATAAGAAACTCATTTTCAATACGAACTTTCAAAAAAAGAATTAAGTTTAAACGCTGTAGTAAAGGATATGCCAAACATGAATATTATTTTTAAGCACTGCTTACATATTACGTGTTTAATCAAAATAAAAATTTTCAACTATTGACAGAAATATTTAATGAAGTTGAAGTAAAAATGTTACTGGGATGGCTTCATGAAAAGATTTTCCCAGATAATTATTCCAATGTTCCAGTACAAGCTGAAGTAGTTGAAATTGCATTAAAACATTTGGATCATAAAGGTTTAAAAGGAAGGAAACAGAAAATTTCCCTAATGTTCCTGAATTTGATATACAAACTTATGTGGTAATTCTATAGCTGAACATTTTTGGAATATTGGAGAATGCAAAGCAAAAAATATAGAGGACTAGCAATGGAATTCTCCGAATCAAATCTCTTAAATATGCCATCAGAAAAAGATTTGTTAATTAAACCTGGGTGAACTCGCTTTGAAAGTAATAAAGAGCTGAATCAGTAGAATTTCCACGTGAAAAATGTGTTGTGTTTTAATGTCAAACCGTTATTAAGTAATAGCAATTATAGTCTTATTGCATGTGCTGCATCCTCAAGTGCTTGGTATACCTGGATATCGCAACATTTAAAGAAAAGAGATTAAGAGAACTTTCTAAGAAAATTGGTGAGTGTAATTAAAAATAAGAAGAACCCCCTAAAGTGAATTTTATAAAATGATGAGATAAGATCGAAAAAGACAAAGCTACTAAGAAATTTTGAAATAAATAACATTTCAGATCAGAATAATCAAAATTCAGCAAATGATACCTGGTGTTCGTACACCCTTCACATGGTACTCTTCTACTAAAGGTGTAGGTAAAATTGGCCAATATGACATTGGACGAATTATTCGTTTATGCAAATATATGGATAATCTTCATTCTCTAAGAGACAAGCTGGCTTCCTCTAATTCAAAACGTAAAAATAAAAAGGCCTTGCGACTTGATAATGCAATTTATCAGATGATACGAAAAATCAAACATCTGCAAAGTAAAATCTATAAAAAGAGTGTTACATTTTTTACTCGCGAATTTGATGCCATTATCATTCCTCCTTTTGAGGTATCAAATATAATAAATCGAAAAACAATAAATATAACGCAAAAAACTGTTCGTAAGATGCTCTTTTGGGCTCACTATCAATTTCGCCAACGTCTGGTAGCTAAAGCTGAAGAATTAGGAGTCTATGTTATTATCCAAAATGAGGCCTATACTTTAAAAAACTGCAGCTGGTGTGGGAGTATTCAAAAAATAGGAGAATCTGAGATGTACAAGTGCCGAAGTTGTGGAGCTGTAATGGATCGAGATGAAAATGGTGCTCGGAGAATTTTTCTCCGGGCTTTGATTGATGGAGCCTTGATTCTCTCCAGAGATCATGCAGAAAATAATAGTAATACTTAGTATTACCTATTATTGATGTATTACAATCCATCCGCAAGCGAATTAGTAGCTCGTTATTTTGAATTGCGATTTTATATTTTCATGTGACTTTAACGTGTAAAATATTTCTGCGAGTTAGCCCTATTAAGTAAGATCAAATGAATATTACAAGGAAAGTCATAATACTCATTTAGAAAAACTGGTGTATGTTACACGTATATTTAATAATACAGAATTTTATAAATTCGTTATAATTTGTTTAATGTGCAATAATATAAATTATTTAAAAAAAACAAAATTTATCTATAATAACAACAAAATTTATTTATTAGTCAATATAAAAGTGAAAATTTTTTATAAAAATATTTATTATCAAAAAAGAACCTCGATTTACTATATCTCATGACTTGATTTTACTGATTTTACTGGTAATGTTCCCATATAGTTTTTAGATCCAGTAACCATTAATTAGATCATATGATATTAAGATTTTCAATTTTCTTTTTGAGCGTCACTGTTATAGCAATAAAAAAAGGACATTGTTTTAATGACGTAATTTTTGGTGTACTGTCAACCTGAAACAAAGCTTTAAATCATAAAAACAAGGAAAATTATTCTTTCATCGCAATAAGCCTTGTCTGTTTAATAGCTTCTCTAAAAAAAAAATTATATTAAGAACATTTCATTCATGCATTTGAAGAATATTTTGGTGCGTCGTGCTGGATAAAATGACTTTTAATAACTAAAAATCTGTGGCCAAGGTATGCCACGTCCCATTGATTTCTTTTTACATGTATGTTACTTTTATTGTTGTATTAGAATATTCAGAAACCACTTAAGCAAAATTTGTCAAATGAAATGAATATAATCAGAGTTTTGATATTCAATGCAGTTATACTTCTATTTTAAATAAAAGGAAGTGTGAGTCTAATAAGGACAACTTGCTAAATATTCTTATTAGACACGTACGAAGAAAGAGTTTAAATAATGCATTAGACAATTTGAATCAATGCAATGCATTAAACGAATAAGAAGACAATTGCGATACATACAGGAAGTTCTAAGTTTTTTATGCATATTGGTTTATTTATTGATTGTTGTTGAAATATCAATAGATATTTTTATTTATTAAGTGAATAAATCGGAAACAAAACATTATTCCGTACAGCAATTCTACATTAAATTCAACAGAAATCGTACGGAAAACATAAATACAATCTTTTATAAGTTTGGTTTTATTTATTCGTGTAATTGTGATATTTACCCATTTGGCTACAATGCACACGATTTTTAGTGGCGTTATCAAGCTAAAATTAATAAGAAAATTATTTTGTATCTTAAAAATTATAATGATAGTGAAATTAAATCGAAGTTGGAAAGGAGCTAAAGTAAATACTTCGCGTGCGTGAAAAAGCTATCGTTCGACTTAGAAATGAAGAAGCTTTCATGTGATCATAAAATAATATATGATTTCGTATATGTTTAAATCGTTTTTTAATTTTTTTTTTACAAAACATTTGTTGAAGTTGTTCAAGTATTGGGACATAATTAGAATGTTATACATTCTTCATAATTATATTTGATCCGACATCTATTGAACGTTTTATCTATTGAATAAAGTGATATTGGATAATAATCAGATGAATTTTGGCTAAATTATCCCATTATTATTACAAGTATTTACCACAATTTTCATTCAATAATAAGTGATTTAATTAGCAAAATGATTAATCTTTTGAATACATAAAAAATTTGATTTCTCTAATGATAATTTTCTCGGGTTTTTTTTTTTTTGACTTTTAGCACGACATATCGTAAAATCAGTCTTCGTACCAATTAATTTCGACATTTATGCTCAAACTCAACGTCGAAATTTAATTTTGGACTATGTAATACTGTATCTAAAGAAAAGTCAAAATAAGACACTTAATTAAAATTCAATAGGATCTTCATATCAAAATGTTTTATCGAACCGACCGATTATAATTATTTGTTGAAATGAATAAATACTAAAAGAAAATAATGCGATCGATTGATATATTTAAATAGTGAAATTCGTTCAATTCATTTAATTTCTTACTAAGATTTGTTATTTTTTATCAATAATTTTTCTATTGATAAGATAAGCATCCATACATTTTCTGTATATCAAAAATCTAATTAATTTTAATAGTGGTTCTTTCAAGTATATATTGATTTTGATATAAATCGAATAAATAATAGATAAAGGAAATGAATTATTTATAACTAACCTGAGATACACTAAAATTAGGGTTTATTTGCTAATAGCAAATATTTAAGTAATATGTCAATACTAATAACAAAATTTAAAATTTTTTTTTACGATAAAGTTCGGATTTCGTATAAACTTTTTTTCTTCTTAAAAGATTTGTCTTCTGGACATTGAATACCGATTAAAATAATTCGATTACTCGTAATGCCCATAAGTATTTAAAAAAAAATATATATATATTTTTTTGAGGTCGGACTCGGGTTATCTCATGACTCGAATCGAACCGAGTTAAGATTTTTATGACTCAAAGAAGAGTGTGAGTAATAAAAAAAACTCGAATTAACCTGACTCCAATGACACTCGAGTTTCCTAAATTATTATTTAAATATAAAAATATATAATTCAGTTCCTGATTTTTTGATCGCGTTTAGCATATAATTTTTCCATATCCAATAACATGCATACTCATAATTCTTAGTTTTAAATTTTAAATCCTTAATATGTATTAAAACCAAAGCAAATAATCGAAATGCGTAACTTACCGCAGGACACATGATTATTAAATAAGCATAAATATCATTTGTATTAATACTTAGCTTTAAACCTACTTAATATTCTTAAACTTGACTAGATTACCCAAACCATATATAATTCGAGTCAACTCTAATTGTAAATCGTTGAGTAAATATAACTATAAACTCAGGTCAGAAATTTTAAAGTTAAAAGAGCGCGAGTTCAAGCATTAATTTACTATACAGTATATAAAAAATAAAACAAAAGATTTAAGCGATTTCAAAATAATTACTAAACAAATATTTTCATTGTATAAAATGATAATTTATATAAAAAATTTAAAGTGATAAACTGCAGTTTTGTTATAATAACTACTCTATATGACAGTGTTCACTAAATAAGTATATTTATAAAAATAAAATGATTTTACATAATAATTATTTCAGTGTTACTAAAGAATTATAAATAATTTTTTAAATAGACTTAATCTTCATTAATAATTTCATCTGTTTGAAAAATAAATTTAATAAATAATATTTTACATGCATAAATATTCATTATAATTTAAATTGCTTACTTAAATCATCTTCTGTAATATTTAAAATTTCTATTAAATTAAAAAATATATATTTAGTTAAGGTTAAATTTTTACATTTATAAATTTATTAATAATTACCAATATTTTGACTATTCTCTATATTTTGAGTTAAAGCTTTATTTAATTTTTCAGTAAAATTTAGTAATCGGCTTATATGATATGCTTGTGGATGTGATTTAATAATAGCTTTATTATTATCTGAAATATTAATTTGACTTTGTTCTAAAATTTGGCTACTTTTATAAAAATCTAAAATAATTTCATCGAGATTAGAATTACTTAAAATTTTTTTTATAATAGTATTACACCATAATTGAATAATACTGCAAATTTCTGATGTATTTGGTCTTTTTAACGGATCTACATCCCAACATCTTTTCATTAAATCTGTATAACATTGTGGTGTATTTTCAATAATTACAGGACATTTATTTTTACAAATGCTTAAAGCAAGTTGAAAATCATGAGCTTCATTATTAAATGGAATATCTCCAGAGGTAAACCCCCACATAATCATAGAAAAACTATATATATCACTAGCAAATGTATAAGGTTGACCTTTTAAAACTTCAGGTGCTACAAATGGTAAAACACCATAAATATCATTATTTTTAGATGTTTGAAAATAATTTACAG